AAACACCCACTGTCCTCTCTGTCTCCACTGATAGGAAACCCTTCCAGGGAAAAAGAGTGCCAAAACCAAGAGAAGTCTTTGTTTACTGGCTGGTGACTGAGGGGCAGAACTGGAGGATGATCTCCCCTGTCAGCTAGAAAGAACCACAGGCTTCTGCCCCATAGGCAGACCCACCTGCAGCTTAGCTCTGGGTCCGAAACTCCCTGGCACATGTCCCCAGTGAAGAGCTGCCTACGTTTGGTAAGGGTTCTCAGGAAGTTATAATGATGACTGTATGTGGGGTGTGACTTTATAAAGCAATAGAACATAGAAGCACCTTATTAAACCTGCCAAATGTATGGTTATATCAACCAAAACCACCACTCAAGCCCGTTAGTCTGATCCCCGCAGGCTTGCTGAGGGGCAGCTGCTCTTTGGCCATGTGGAGTAGGAGGGTCATTCTCGTCACCACTGGAGTCTGCTTCAGCATCCTCTGCCGCTCCAAGACCAGCAGGCTCTCTCAATAAAAAGTGTTGTTAGGCAGCCTGGGAGGCTGGGAGCCAGAGGCCAACACAGCAGAAACAGTCCTTGCCTGTATCTCCTCCATCCTGGCAGAATGGAAACATTGTATGAAACCTCTAGTTTCCTTAAGCCTTTTGCTCTCCCTGAGGCCTCAGTGGCAGCTCTTGGCCCTGGTGCTAGAAGCAAGAAGGGGCTGGCACATGGGCCAGGGGTGGGCCTGGAAGCTGCTTTCTGTTTGCTTTTTAAGAGAAAACCAATTTTTGACTTGACTTTTCTCTCCATACTTTACTGATCAGTAGCTACCTAGTAGTGCTTCCCATGAATGGGCCTGGATGGAAACAAAACAGCAGAAGGGGCTGCTTTCCTGCAGGAAGTGAATTGTTGTAGCGTCTTCCATCCCAGGAGCTCAGCAGAGCAGCCCTTTTGGTTTGGGGTCTTTGCAAATTGTCTATTCTAGGCTTACCTAAACATGCTCAGCAGAAACAGTCTGAGGCAGTGGGAATAAGGCCGGGAGATCTCAGTCAGGAGGATTTTTTTCATTCTATTTTTAAATTCATGGTTCAATTATACCATTTTAGATCTGTACTCCAAAGAAAAATATTGTGTTTAAAGAAATGTGTTTTAAAAAATTTGAGTGTTCTATCCTTAAATTATTTACCTACTACTTGAGTCTAAGGTGATGTTTGTTTACGTGCTTTGTATCCATACTTGAACCAGCAATCAGGCATAGTCAAGAGTGATGTATAGTAATGTTTCCAGGTGGTAGTTTTATTGCAAGAAGCATTTCACTTACTGCAAGAATTCCTCATGTAAAGTAACCTCACCATAGGTGACAAAGCGTATGTGTGTGTGTACACTGCAGTTAAGAATCTTGCCCCAGTAGAATTACTCTCCACATCTCTCTCATCATGTTTCTAAAATGGTTAAATTGCTTGCTATTAACTTTTGGATAATCCTATTCCAAATTAGTAGATTCTGTTAAAGAAAACTAGTATCACAGAAGTTTCTCATGTTGCTCAAAGAATTGTTCACTTTGGGCCATGTGAACACAGTATCCCGTGAGATCTCAACAGGTGTGCTCTACATGAGCAAACCCAGACTAGTGTGGCGACTCATGACTGCCAGAATTTTGATGAATCTCAGAGGGTTGGGGAAGAGAAACCTCAGCTGTAATCTATTTCAAAATCATAAATCTTGCTGCTGACACTGTGGCGTAAGCCTAAGCCTACAGTGCTGGTATCCCATATGGGTACCAGTTCAATTCCTGGGTGCCCCACTTTCAATCCAGCTTCCTGTTTATGGCCTGGGAAACCAGTGGAAGATGGCCCAAGTGCTTGGACCCCTGCACCCACATGGGAGACCTGGAAAAAGCTCCTCACTCCTGGCTTTAGATCTGTTCAGCTCTGGCCATTGCCGCCATCTGGGGAGTGAACCAGAGGACTGGAGCTCTCTTTCTCTGTCTCTCCCTCTGTCTGTAACTGCCTCTCAAATAAATAAATTTTTTCCGGCGCCGTGGCTCACTAGGCTAATCCTGCACCTGTGGCGCTGGCATCCCGGGGTTCTAGTCACTGTTGGGGTGCCAGATTCTGTCCCTGTTTCTCCTGTTCCAGTCCAGCTCCTGCTGTGGCCTGGGAGTGCAGTGGAGGATGGCCCAGGTCCTTGGGCCCTGCACCTGCATGGGAGACCAGGAGGAAGCACCTGGCTCCTGGCTTTGGATTGGTGCAGCGCGTTGGCCACAACACGCCAGCCCTAGCGGCCACTTGGGGGGTGAACCAATGGAAAAAGGAAGACCTTTCTCTCTGTCTCTCTCTCTCTCTCACTGTCTAACTCTGCCTGTCAAAAATAAATAAATAAATAAATCTTTAAAAAAATTCCTAAATGTTGGAGTTTCCTTCCCCGCATTTTTGTAAAGTTCTTGCATTAGTGTAATTTCAGCACCCATGGCCCTTCCTGAAAGTAGTAGTGAATTTCCACCAAGAAAGCTAGTGTGGCAGACTTAAGTGGCTCTGATGCCCACTTTTGGAAGTTTGAGGCACAATTTGGGAAGAGAAATTGAACTTTGAAATTGCAAAGGACAGCCGGCGCCGCGGCTCACCAGGCTAATCCTCCGCCTAGCGGCGCCAGCACACTGGGTTCTAGTCCTGGTCGGGGCGCCGGATTCTCTCCCGGTTGCCCTTCTTCCAGGCCAGCTCTCTGCTGTGGCCAGGGAGTGCAATGGAGGATGGCCCAAGTACTTGGGCCCTGCACCCCATGGGAGACCAGGGTAAGTACCTGGCTCCTGCCATCAGATCAGCGCAGTGCGCCGGCCGCAGCGCGCCAGCCGCGGCGGCCATTGGAGGGTGAACCAATGGCAAAGGAAGACCTTTCTCTCTCTCTCTCTCACTGTCCACTCTGCCTGTCAAAAAAAAAAAGAAAAAAAAAAGGAATTGCAAAGGAGGAAGTCAAAACAGCCATGTTGACATGGATGACATGTTGTTGTACATGGAAAAGCCTAAACACTCTAGCAAAAAGGATTTGAACTGATAAATGAATACAGTCTAAAATTAGAAACCAACATAAAAAAAGTAAATTTTTGTAATTCAGTAATGAACTGGGCAAGAGGAATCAAGAAAAAAGTCCCATTCATAATAGCCATCAAAAAATCAAATATTTAGGTATAAATTTATCAAAGAAGTGAAAAATCTCTACCATGAACATTATAAAATGAAAGAAATCATGAACACACACACACACGCACACACACACAAGTTCCTTGCTCATGGATAGAAAGAATCTTATTAAGATATCTGTACTACTCAAAGCAATCTACAGAATGAACACAATTCCTGTCAAAACACCAATGACATCATTTAAAGAAAAAATCTTAAAAATTCACTTGGAATTTTACAAAAGTCCCAGAATAGACAAAGCAATTGTGGAAAAAAATTAAGCTGCAGGCATCACAATGTCTCAATGATGTGAATGGAAGGGGAGAGGGAGTGGGAAAGGGGAGGGTTGCAGGTGGGAGGGACGTTATGGGGGGGAAGCCTTTGTAATCCATAAGCTGTACTTTGGAAATTTATATTCAATAAATAAAAGTTTAAAAAAAAGCATACTACAAAGCTATAGTAATAAAAGCAGCATGCTACTGGCATAAAAACAGGCACATAGATCATTGAAACATAATAGAGAGACCAGAATTTAATCCCCATAAATACAGCCAGCTGATTTTTGACAAAAGTGCCCAGACCAGAACATAACATTAGAGAAAGGATAGTCTTTTCAATAAATTGTAATGGCAAAATTGGACATAGAATGAAGTTAGGTTCTTGTCTGTTGCCAGATACAAAAAAAAGCTCAGTTGAATTGAAGACTTAAATTTAAGACCTAAGACTATGAAATTGTTACAAGAAAACAAGGGAAACGCTTCAAGGTAATGGAGTAGGTGACAACTTCTTGAGTAAGACCTGAAATGCAGGCAACAAAAGCAAAAGTAAACAAAATGGGCTTGTATCAAACTCAGAAGCTTCTGCCCAGCAAAGGAAACAACAGAGTGAAGAGACATACAACAGACTGGGAGGAAATATTTCTAAGCTACTTATCCAACAAGGGCTAGTATCTAAAATAGATCAGCAACTCTAAAAACTCAACAATAAGAAAACAACCAATTCATTGAAGAAATGGGCAGAGGATTTGAATAAACAGTTTTTTAAAAAGTACAAATGGCCAACAAATAAGTGAAAAAATGCTCAACATTACTAGCCATTAGGGAAATGCAAATCAGCACCACAATGAGACATCACCTCAGCTCTTTCATAATGGTTGTTATCCAAAAGAAAGAAAACAACAATGCTGGTGATGTTGACAGAGGGGCATTTTTTACACTGTTGGTGAGAATGTGATTAGTACAGCCACTGTGGAAAATGTATGAAATTTTCCTTAGAAACTAGAAATAGACTTGCCGTAGGAACCAGCAATCCCACTCCTGGATATATACCTCAAAAACATTAATAATATTTTATCAGAGATACATGTTCCACCATATTTATGGCAGCACTGTTCACAGTAGCCATAATATGCAGCCAACCAAGGTTCCCAGTATTAGGTGACTGGATATAGAAAATGTGATAAACACACATGCATATACCCACAATGGAATATTATTCAGCTATAAAAAATGAAATTGTATCATTTGCAGCAAAATGGTTTGAACTGAAAGACATCATGTTGATCAAAATCAGCTGGACATAGAAAGACAAATATCACGTTTGCCCTTATATGTGGGAGCTAAAGTTAAAAAAAGAAAAGGATGGAGGAGGAAGGAAAGGAAAGGGAAATGGAAAGGATTAAAAGAAAAATATACCTGTGTGCATCAGTTCTGTTGCAAATACAGTGTTTTGTTAAAGTTCGTATTAAATGTGACCAAAAGATTGATAAGAATTATGTGCTCCGATAGTATTAATGCTTCTGTGACTTTTTAAATTTGCTTTATATGAGTGACGTTGGACATCTTTTCACTTGGTTATTGATTATAGACCTTGCCTATTTATCTGCTGCACTATGGTCTTTCTATTTTTTTTTTGAACTTTTTATTCAATAGAACATTAAACCTTTGACTCTAATAAAAATTAAAAATGTCATCTCAAAAATTTTTAATAAAAGTGAATTTTAATAAAAGTACTTAAAGTAACAGTAGTCAAGAAAACGTGATTCCCTGTGGCCACAGGGCTGTCTTCTTTACAGAATTCTTCAGGCATGGATGAAGCTGGTCTGCGCAGGGCTGATGGATTTTAAAACAATACAGATTATTCAGTATTTCTTTTGTCTTTTGTATGCAAAAAAAGTTACTGATAATTCTTTATTTGCTGTGTTTACCAAGATTCTGTTACCCTCCTGCTGTGTGTGTGTGTATGTAACTGAAGTTTGTCACATAAGCTACCTGTGCAGTGCTTTGAACAAGAGAATAGAGTGTCAGTGCTGGGGACTGGTGTGTGAAACATTTCTCTTCCCTGGGTTTAAATTTTAGTCTTTGCTGCTGAGCTGATGTTTGGTAACAGAGAGTTTGCAAATCAAGTAGAGGAAGAAAATAGAAATTAGCTTTCTGAAAAATCTGAATACTTCCCCCAAAATATGTAAGTAAATACATATTAACGAGACAATAAAATCAATCATTTGATATAAGAGTTTGGTATCTCAAAGTTATCCAGAATGATAACCTAATGCTCCTTTGCCCTCTGTTCCACATTTATCTCATCATGAGGTGGAAACTTCTCATGAAGTATATCACTTAAAAAGGAAAGAAATATACGTCAGCATTGTGGTGTGGCAGGTTAAGCCATTGCTTGTAACTAGTGTTGCCTATCGGAGTGCTGATTAAGTCCCAGCTGCTTCACTTCTGAGTGAAGATAGCCCAAGGGAGTGAAGATAGCCCAAGTGCCTGGACCCCTGCCATCCATATAGGAGCCCTGAAAAGAGTACTCGGCTCCTGGCCTTGGCCCTGTGGCCATTTGAGCAGTGAACCAGTGGATGGAAGGTATGCTCTCTCACTCTCTCTTTTGCATACTCAATCTTTCTCTGTTGCTCTGTGTTTCAAATAAATAAATTTTTTAAAAAATCACTATTGGCACTTTAATGTTTAATTAATTTCTCAACTATATACAATTATATACATACACATAAGTTGGTTTATGTGCCTACAAATTGATAGTGTGGCACCAATTAGGAAGCATATGCTGTGTGTTATAGAGGAGGTACACTTAAAAGGGTACCTGCTACAGGATAATTACCTCATGTAGTATTGAAATAAATCTCAACTGCGAAACGTGGGCCATAGGTTTTCCAGGCTTTTCGTTTGTGTGGGTTATCCAATTCATTTCGTCTTAGATATAGCCTTGGGGGGAAAAGCAAGCACACATTACATTTTATTTTAGGGCTAATAGTCAAGCCCTGCAGTAGAGCCCCTTGGTCTTCATGAAAAGCCTTGCCCACCACATTTGGAACCTCAGCCTTTTTTATGTGTCTTCCTTGGCTTCCTCCACATCTCTCACAGAATACCTTCATCTTCACTAACAAGTACCTCAGTGACAACATACTGCCAAATCTTTTAGCATCTCCTTGTATGGAATTAATGACATCCAAGATTGAAAAAGCATCTGTTTGCATAGATGACAAGTCCACCAGAGGCTTGGTGTGTAATAAGGCCAGCATTGTGGTGTAGTGGATGAAGTTGCCACTTGCAATGCTGGCATCCCATATTGGAGTGCTGATTTGAGTCCTGGCTGCTGTGCTTTTGCTTCAACTCCCTGCTGATGGCCTAAGAAGGCAGCAGAAGATGGCCCAATGGCTTGGGCATCTGTTGCCTACATCATGCCTCTCCCTCTCCTTCTCTGTCTCTCGCTCCCTCTCCCTATCCCTCTCCCTATTCCTCTCCCTCTCACTCTCCCTCTATGTCACCATCTCCCTCTCCATCCTCTCTCTCCTCTCCCACCCTCTCCCTTGCCCCCTCTCCCTCTCTCCCTCTCCCTCTTCTCCTATCTCTCCTCTCCCTCCTCTCCCTCTCCCTCCTCTCCTTCTCCCTCTTCTCCCTCTCCTTGGCCAAGGCTTTAACCTACTGTGCCACAGAGCTATCTCTCACCTTTCAAATAAATGAATCTTTAAACAATAATAAAACCCAATAATACAGTGTCTTTTAAGAATGACATTGGTGTTTATGGCTAAAAAAATCCTTATAGCTATAAAAACTGCTTTGCCAAGTAGTGTGTACATGTAAAGCTTACAGAAATATTTAGAAACTTACATAAAAATGATCTAATGTTGCTTCTCCAGTATGAACACATTGTTTCAAAGGACAAAACTGTACACTGTAGTAACAGCCATTTTTTAGGAGTAGCACCAGGTTTCTCTATTTGAGGGACTTTGCTCATGTAATGAATCAAAGTTTATTGTTTATATCCAGATACGAATGGATAAAAATTTGCCATGAAATCCAACATTTGCCCTCAAAAAGCATTAAATGTGCATGCATACAGGAGTGTGTGTCTGATGTTCCCTCTGCTGTCTTCTTGTAGGGCTTGGGATGCCACTAGAGCCAGTTCAGGTTTCCAGCAGAGTAGGGTTGGATGTGATGAATATCAAATAAAGCCACGTGCAATTGCAACCACCTTAACTCTAACCTAAAAAATTTTCAAAATCTTTTTTCCTTTGGATTGTAGGGTATGTTGATATCATCTTTTCACCCAGTCAGAGCAAAACCCCAAAGTAGAGGACTTCTAGATTCAGGAATGAGTTTCTATATATGGGTAAAATGTTCTTTGGAATAATAACATTCAAATCCATTTAATAAATGCTTTTTAATAAAGTTTTCTGATTGAGTTGTTAGAGAAATGTGTAATTGGGAGACTATTAAATTATTTCTTGTCTCTCTTGATCCCTCTCTCTTATGCTCTCCTCCTCTCTTACCCTCTTGTGCTCTCTCCCCAGCCCATCTGGCTTCCCCCACCCAATAATAAACCTTTCTTCTAACTCCGGTGTGTTTTGTGGCAGCCTTACATCAGTGCCATGACTCAGATCCAGCCTCCCCCATTGACCTTGCTCTCCCTTTGGAAGAGCCTCCAGAAATTGTGCCTTAGATTAGCAGAGGTTGATGATTGCTCCTACGTGGATCAGCACTTATTGAGGACCTGCCATATCTTGAATTCAAGGTACTAAGCATAATCATATTGAATTTCACTGGGAGTACATTATCACCACACTCAGCATCTGATTTTAATCCTTTGTAACTTAGAACATAGTCCTCTGACATGGCCCATGAGGATCCTGCAACAGTTGAGTCTCACATAGTTTTTAAATAATCACATTGAGCAAATGCAATGAAGAATGGTGGCTTGGGATTTTCTGGTTTATTATATATCGAGATTATAACAGTTGGCAAAAGAATTGCCATTATACCTTACACACAGGCATTGAAGGTTAAGCTGTTTCTATCAGATTTATATTATATCCATACCTGTTGTTTTGTATGAAAGCTGTATTGAACCAGAAGAAGAATGCACATTTGTCATAGTATTTGGGGAGATTCTAAAAAGACATGGTTAAAGAAAAAATGGTTAATTTCATAGTAAAATTGATACCAAGAACTAGTTCCAGAGGATAATCCCTTTGGATTCTTTCCTTTATTCTTCTATATATTGCTCTAAGAACTGTACCCATTAAGTAGGCAGCACTCTACCCCTCATAATACACCTAGAGACACAAGAAGGAGACTAATAGAATGCTCTTGCTTTGACTTTTTGTTTCTATCAGGAATTTCAAGGATGGCATGGGCTTTGGGCATAGCAGTTAATATGCCCCTTGGGACACCCACATCCTATATAAGAGTGCCTGGATTCAAGTCCAACTCAGCTCCTGATTGCAGCCTCCTGTTAGTGCACAGCCTGGAGGCAGCAGGTGATGGGTCCCTGCAACCCATGTGGGAGATCAGATTTGAATTCCTGGCTCCCAGCTTCAGCTTTCCCCAGCCATGGCTCTTGTGGGGAGTTGAGACATAAACTAGCAGATGGGCAGTCTCTTCTCTCTGCCTTTTTTTTTTTTACTTATTTGAAAGGTAGAGTTAGACAGTGAGAGAGAGAGACAGAGAGAAAGGTCTTCCTTCTGTTGCTTCACCTCCCAAATGGCTGCTATGGCCAGCGCTGCGCTGATCCGAAGCCAGGAGCCAGGTGCTTCCTTCTGGTCTCCCATGCAGGTGCAGGCATCCAATCACCTGGGACATCCTCCACTGCATTTCCTGGCCACAGCAGAGAGCTGGTCTGGAAGAGGAGCAGCCAGAACTAGAAACTGGTGCCCATATGGGATTCTGGCACCACAGGCGGAGGATTAGCCAAGTGAGCCACAGCACCGGCCCCTTTTTTTGTTGTTTATTTTTAAGGAATATAAATTTCATAAGTACAATGTTAGAAATATAGTTATTCTTCCCACTATACCCACCCTTCAACCCATACTCCCACCCCACCACCACCTCCCTCTCCCCTTGCCAGTCTCATTCTCCATTAAGATTCATGTTCATTTAACTTTGTACACAGACCTGCCATATGACCTATGCTAAGTAGATTTCAACAATTTGCATACACACACAAACTGAGAACTAATATTATAGTTAACTCATAATGAAACTCATTGACGCAGAAGTGCTACATGGGGTGTTAGTGTTAAGTGACTCCTGTTGTTAATTTGCACACACACACAAACTGAGAACTAATATTATAGTTAACTCATAATGAAACTCACTGAGGGCAGAAGTCCTACATGGGGTGTTAGTGTCCAGTGACTCCTGTTGTTAATTTAACTACTAACACTCTTATGTATGATATCAGTGACCACCTGAAGCTCTTTGCATGAACTGCCTAGGCTTTGGAAACCTTTTAAGTGCAGTAACTGTCAGCATTTGGACAAGGGTGTAAGCAAAGTGGAAGTTTTCTCCATCCTTTAGAGAAAAGTATATCCTTCTTTGATGGCCACTTCTTTCTGCTGGAGTCTCACTCACAGAGTTCCTTCATGTAGAACATTTTTTGCCACAGTGTCTTAGTTTTCCATGCCTGAAATATTCTCATGTGCTTTTCAGCCAGACCAGGAATCTTAAGGGCTGAATCTGATGTCAGAGTGTTATTAAAGCAGTTGTCATTCTGTTAGTCTACTGTGTGGACTGCTTCTCATGTTGGAACATTCTCTCTTTTAATTCTATCTATTATTATTACCAGGCACTTGATCCTATATATATATAGTTACTTTAACACTTACTATGATCACTTTAACAACTAAAATGGCATTTTTACCATCAAGTTTAATGGGATTTGGAGTCCCATGACAAGTTTTTAAACTGTACCCTTAGAATTAATTCCACAGGAATGTATGCAGAATTATAGAGCTTTACAGTTACAAACTTCCTCTTCCCTCTCTTATTTGCACTCTTATTTTTTATTGAGATCTATTTTCAATTGACTTCATATATATACATATATATATAAATATGTATTGTTAAATGTTAAGAGTTCAAAAAATAGTATAAAGAAAAAATAACAATAACAAAAAAAACCTGTTCCTCGACAGTCAAGATAAGAGGAGCTCAAGTCATCTTCTCTTGAAGTGAATGCTGATTTCACTTATACAGATTTTCTTTTAGGTGCTCTATTAGTTCTCACAGATCAGAGAGAATATATAGTATTTATCATTTTGGGACTGATTTATTTATAATTGACTTATTATATAAGTATGATGTTTTCAAGATTCATCCATTTAGTTGCAAATGAACTTATTTCATTTTTTCTTTACTGCTGTGCAGTATTCATAATGTATGTATCCCATTATTTATTTTTTTAAATTTATTTGACAGATAGAATTAGACAGAGTGAGAGAGAGACAGAGAGAAACGTCTTCCTTCCATTGGTTCACCCCCCAAATGGCCACTATGGCTGGAGCTATGCTGATCCAAAGCCAGGAGCCAGATGCTTCCTCCTGGTCTCCCAGGTAGTGCAGGGTCCCAAGCACTTGGGCCATCCTCCACTGCCTTCCTGAGTCACACCAGAGACCTGGACTGGAAGAGGAACAACTGGTACTAGAACCCAGTGCCCATATGGGATGCCGGTGCCGCAGGTGGAGGATTAACCAAGTGAGCTATGGCGCTGGCCTCCCATTATGTCTTTATCCAGTCTTTGGTTGATGGGTATTTGATTGCATGCCTTAGCATTGTGAATCAAGCTGCAATAAACATGGAGGTGCAGATAACTCTTTTGTTTACTGATTTCATTTCCCTTGGGTAATTCCCAGGAGTGGGATGGCTGGGTCATATGGTAGGACCATATTCAGATTTTTGAGGTATCTCTGTACTGTCTTCCAGAGTGGCTTTACCAGTTAACATTCCCACCAATAAGGGATTAGGGTACCTTTTCCCCCACATCCTTGCCAACATTTTTAGTTTGTTGATTTCTGTTTGAAAGCCTTTCAAATGGGGCTGAGGTGAAACCTCATTGTGGATTTGATTTGCATTTCCCTGACAGCTAGTGTTCCTTAAAATTTTTCATGTGTCTGTTGGCCCTTTGGATTTCCTGTTTTCCAAAATGACTGTTTAAGTCCTTTTTCCATATCTTAAGTGGGTTGTCTGTTTTGCTGTTGTGGAGTTTCTTTATCACTTTGTAGATTCTGGTTATTACTCCTTTATCAGTTGCATAGTCTGCAAATAATTTCTCCCATTCTGTCAGTTGCCTCTTTGCCATACAGAAACATTTCAATTTGGCGTAATCCCATTTGTTAATTTTGACTTTGACTGCCTGTGCCTCTGGGGTCTTTTCCAAGAAGTCTTCACTTGTGCTATTGTGAATGGGTTTGATCTTAGACATTGAATATCAACTGTGGCATTGTCTGTGTCTACAAAATCTGATGAACTTTGTGTACTGACTTTATATTCTGCTACTTTCTATAAGTTCCCATAGTCTTTTAGTGGAGTCTTTTGGATCCCCTAGATGTAGAATCATGTAACCTGCAAATAGGGATTGTTTGACTTCCTCCTTCCCAATTTGTATCACTTTGATTTCTTTCTTTTTTTTTTTTTTTTTTTGCCTAATTGTTCTGCCTTAACCTTCTAGGGCTATATTGAATAGCAATGGTGATGGTGGGCATCCTTCTCTGGTAACCAATCGCAGTAGGAATGCTTCCAACTTTTCCCCATTCAGTAGGACGCCGGTAATAGTTTATTCATAAATTGACTCAATTGTGTTAAGAAATGTTTCTTCTGTTCCCAGTTTCTTTTTTTTCTTTCTTTTTTTCAACTTGTTTTATTTTTTTATTTTTTATTTAGTAAATATTAATTTTCACCAAAGTACAGTTAATGGATTACAATGGCTTCCCCCCCATAATTTCCCTCCCACTCACATCCCTCCCATCTCCTGCTCCCTCTCCCATTCCATTCACATCAAGATTCATTTTCAATTAACTTTATATACAGAAGATCAATTCAGTATATATTAAGTAAAGATTTCATCAACACATTAAGGACAGATCCCACATGAGAAGTAAGTACACAGTGACTCCTGTTGTTGACTTAACAATTTGACACTCTTGTTTATGGCGTCAGTAATCTCCCTAGGTTCTAGTCATGAGTTGCCAAGGCTATGGAAGTCTTTTGAGTTTGCTGACTTTGATCTTATTCCGACAGGGTCATAGTCAAAGTGGAAGTTCTCTCCTCCCTTCAGAGAAAGGTACCTCCTTTGATGGCCTGTTCTTTCCACTGGGATCTCATTTGCAGAGATCTTCCATTTAGGTCTTCTTTTTTTTTTTCCCCCAGGGTGTCTTGGCTTTCCATGCCTAAAATACTCTCATGGGCTCTTCAGCCAGATCCGAATGCCTTAAGGGCTGATTCTGAGGCCAGAGTGCTCTTTAGGAAATCTGCCATTCTATGTGTCTAATGTGTATCCCGCTTCCCATGATGGATCGTTCTCTCCCTTTTTGATTCTATCACTAGTATTAGCAGACACTAGTCTTGTTTGTGTGATCCCTTTGACTCTTACACCTATCAGTGTGATCAACTGTGAACTGAAATTGATCACTTGGACTAGTGAGATGGCATTGGTACATGCCACCTTGATGGGATTGTATTGGGATCCCCTGGCATGATTCTAACTCCACCATTTGGGGCAAGTGCGATTGAGCATGTCCCACATTGTACATCTCCCTCTCTATTTCCACTCTTATATTTTTTTTTTGGACAGGCAGAGTGGACAATGAGAGAGAGACAGAGAGAAAGGTCTTCCTTTTGCCGTTGGTTCACCCTCCAATGGCCGCTGCGGCTGGCGCGCTACAGCTGGTGCACCATGCTTATCCGATGGCAGGAGCCAGGTACTTATCCTGGTCTCCCATGGGGTGCAGGGCCCAAGCACCTGGGCCATCCTCCACTGCACTCCCTGGCCATAGCAGAGAGCTGGCCTGGAAGAGAGGCAACCGGGACAGAATCCAGTGCCCCGACCGGGACTAGAACCTGGTGTGCCTGCGCCGCTAGGCGGAGGATTAGCCTAGTGAGTCACGGCGCCAGC